CGGGGCGGAGTCGGGGATGCCGGGCCTGTCGGGACATGTCAAAGGGACCGCGGCAATGCCACTACAGGAACCTTCACCCGAAAGGGGTTTCCACAAACTGGAGTATTGCCTGCTTGACTATAGCAGCCGGCATCGTCTGGACTTCATTAGCCGCAGTGAGTGAATGGGCGAGGGACGGCCCGGATACCGGTACCGCCCCGGTACATCCCCTCAGCACTGACCCTCCGCCAGTGCCGGCGCCGAGCCTCCGCCAGTGCCTCCGCCAGTGCCGGCGCCGAGCCTCCGCCAGTGCCTCCGCCAGTGCCGGCGCCGAGCCTCCGCCAGTGCCTCCGCCAGTGCCGGCGCCGAGCCTCCGCCAGTGCCGGCGCCGAGCCTCCGGTTTGTGAATCTTTAGCAGCGTCTCTGTACAGAGAGAGGTCTGATATTCTGTCACCGATGGCTGGGATAGCCAGGTTCATTGGTCCATTTGTGAATTGAGAGGCGCACTCAGGTTGAAGCTGGGGATCGGCTCTGTTGTTACTGAATGACAAAGCAATTTCTACTCCTTCTTCTCTTGTTTCCTGTGTTCAATGGTTTAAATTGATGTTACCCTAGTTCAGTCCATACCGCTCTAAACAAACTGGAAAGGTCTTGCCTCTGTTCTTGACTGGATTGTCTTTTGTTGATCCCAAGTGTAACTGCATTTTTGGATCTAGACTTATGTCAGCCACCCTGGAGTCAGTGAGATAACATTTTCATCCAACTGTAGTCACTGTCTATGAGCTGAGAGTGTCTTTGCGTTCGCTGGTACATGAGGTCTCTCGGAGATGTATCTGTGATGTTCTTCTGTGTCCTGCTTCACTCCCGAACACCCGTAGCATTCCCTTTAATAAGAATTTATACAGGAATTAGCACAATTTGTAATATTACAAAGTTAGAAAGATGTTTCTTTCCTAAACCTGCAGCAACAGTATGTATTGATACAAAGCACGTTATCTGCTGAGATCTGTATCTCTGATATGAAAAGAGCAAACCTGCAGCTAAGCAATATTCCCCATCCCAGCCTCCCCTCTTCTGCAGCGTGAGTTCATTGAGTGATGAGTGAGGCTCGGATTGCTGTCTCTTGATGGGACGGCAGTAGAGATACCGCAATTGTGATTGTAATGATGAATGTGGTTTGGACCAGGGAGAGAAAGTGACCAAATGTTTCTGCTCTCAGCCACGCAATACAGTGTGTCCTCTTCATGAGTGATTCTGTGAATATTGCTGAGGACAGGATATTGTCACCTGTGGTGATTTTCATGGTTGACCAGCTCGCTCTAAGTGTGAAGGGTCCAGACCCAAAACGTCAGCTTTCGTGCTCCTCTGATGCTGCCTGGCCTGCTGTGTTCACCCAACTCCACACCTTGTTACCTCAGACTCCAGCATCGGCAGTTCCTACTCTCTCTCAGTCTGGGTCACTGTTATATTTGATATTATGATGAACTAACAAGGAGCTCCATAGAATGGGACTTACTGATTTCCCACCACACTGTCTGTGTTACAGCAGGTGTATGAACAACTAGACCCCCTGTTAGCCCAGTGCCCCTGGCACCAGCCTGGATGGTAATTGGAAGCTGCCTGAATGAGCAGCCTGGATAATGAGGGTGGTCATTCATTCGTGAGCACCCACTAGACCAGGAGCACTGTCCCAGGAAACGTTCTGCCAGTCTGCGTCTGCTTTCAGCAAACATCCCAGGGACCAGAATCACTGTATTATCCCTGTCCTGAGCAGATCTAATGGGAGTTTAAATATCAAATTTGCTTCACAAATGCTAAAATACAGCATTTATGAGGTCTCTGAAACAGAAAAATGCTGGAAATACTCAGCAGGTCTCTGAGGAGAGAAACAGAGTAAATGTTTCAGGTCCATGATCTTTCAGCAGAAATGGGAACAGTGAGAGTGGTGACATATTTCATTGAGCATAAATGCAAGGGAAAGGGGAGCAAAAGATGATCTGATTGGGCAATAGTTGTGCAATGGCAGGAGGGTTGACCCTGCAGGACAAAAGGAGATAGCAATTGGGAAAGTGAAGAAATGGAAAGGAAGGTTTGGGGGAGGTGTAAACGGTGATATCACAGATCCCAGGTTGGAAAACAAGTGGGAGCAGCAGGAATGATATAAAACTATCGTCCCTGAAGGACAGTAAAAGATAAAACCAAATGTTCCAGTGAAGGTTACCACGAGCTCGGCACTTCGCAGACTGCTGAAGGTGACACTAACAATTCCACGTTGGAATATCTGTCCTGCCTTTTGGAAGCAGCTGTTAATGCTGATTCTACTATTTGTGTTCGTACCTCCCTTAGACTTTTGATGTCTGTCCATGCTCCATCACCGTCTTCTTTTTAGCCATTTTAATCTCTTCCACTTTCCACTGTCACAGAGCCTGTCTCTATTTGTTAGAATCTGTTATGGATTGAACCATTTTCCAGTTCTCCTGATGAAAGCTCATCTGGTTGATTCTCTCTATACAGAAGAAGCTTGTGTCTTGTTCCTGTTGCCTGTATCAGGTGCTTAACAGCTAATTGTATTGAAATAATCTATTCCAGAAAAACACAACCAATTATTTTCCACGGGAGACAAACAGGAGACTGGATAAACACAGCAAGCTCTGGATGATCCAGTCTTGAAGAAGGGTAATACTCAACATTGACTTCTCCTCCTCCAGATGCTGTGACTGGCTTGCTGTGTTTTTCCAGCCTCTTGTTTGTCTACCTTGAATTTCAGCATCTGCAGTTTTTTTTTCTCTCTAACCAATTACTTTCCTGCTTGGCCTAACCTGTGCTGTCAGACCCCATTCTCCCCTTACCTTGTCGCCCCACTCCAAAAGAGCTACTCCAACCACAGCCATCCTCCAGTAATCTCCTCCTGTTTATTGGTGCTTTCCTGGTCTGAAGTTTGTTTCTAGCTGACAGTCCCTTGTTGAAGGAGCAGTTTTTCACAGGCAGAGAGTATGTGCAAATGTTTGTCTGTGGGTGCACCATAACCAGATCATCCTCAGATTGATGGACACAGCACAGACTGGAGACCAATGCAGAGCTGCCGGGCCTATCCTGGGATGTATTTCCCAATGGAAGCGTAGAGAATAGGAGCATGAGTAGGCCATTCAGCCCTTTGAGTTTCCCCCACCATTCAATATGATCGTGGCTGAACATCTAACTCAGTCCCCTGTTCCTGCTTTCTCCTCATACCTTTCAATCCCTTTAGCCCCGAGAACCATATCCAACTCCTTCTTGAAAACATTGTGTTTTGGCCTCAACTGTTTTTTGTGGTAGAGAATTCCACAATCTCTGGATGAAGATATTTCTTCTCATCTCATTCCTAAATGGTTTACTTCGTGTCCTTAAACTGATCCCTGGTTCTGGACTCTCCTGTCAACAGGAGCATCCTTCCTGTGTTTACCCTGTCTAATCCTGTTAGAATTGTACACGTTGCTATGAGATTTCCCTCAATCTTCTAAACTCCAGTGAATATAATCCTAACTGGTGCAGACTGTCCCTGTACGTCAGTCCCACCATCTTAGCAATCAGTCCGGTAAACCTTCGCTGCACTCCCCATCGCCAGGATGTCCTTCTTTAGATAAGGAGACCAAACCTGCACACAATAATCTAGGTGTCAGGAGCTATTTTTTTTCTCTTGCAGTTTGCCTCGAGGGCAGGGATATACATATCCCTGATTGTGGAGCTCTGCCTCTTCGAGTAGTCTCTGCTGCCTTATGGAGCAGCGTGAGAAATGACTGCACTGAGCATTACGACAGAGTCCTGGATTTTGTGAACACCATCTGGGAACAGGCTGCAGGCCTGGTCACATACCGACATTACCTCAAACTCTGCATCGCGTTCAAAGCCAAGGTACGTACTGGGCGAATCCCATTTTCTCACCCCTATGATTGTAAGGGAATGTTAGATGCAAGCTGCAGATATTGCACCATATCAGGGAGGGAGAAAGTGACCTGGACTCTAAGCTCCAGAAAGCAATTGCACTACAGACCAGGTAATTCAGAATTAGTCTGTGATCATGCATAGGCTGTGACTGCTGGTCAGGGAGGTCTGAGGACCCAAGGTAAAACTGACAAAGGGTGTCGCCCCCTACAATAATCCAGCAGCTACAAGGTTCTGTGAAATGTGCAGAGTGTCCAGGGTGAACAAACTGACCATGGCACTATGGTACAGGGAGCCATTCGAGTAGGGGAAGGCAAGAGGAAAGTAGTTGCAGTAGTGTAATTCCTGAGGGGAGCGTAGACGTTGTTTTCTGCAGCTGTGAGTGGGAGTCCTGAAGGCCATACTGCCTGCCCAGTGCCAGGGTTATGGACATCTCCTCAGGCCTGAAAGAGAACGTGGGGAGAGAGAGGGGGAGGGATTCTGTAGACATTGTCCATGTTGGAACCAGTGACATTGAACAGAAGCTCCTCTCAAAGTCCTATCAAAGAACCTCCAATGTAATCATCTCTGGATTATGACTGAGCCGTAGGCAAACTGGAATTAGGCAAATAAAGTCAAGGCGTTAAATTTAAAGATTAATGTGGGAGGAATGGGTTTCAGTTTGTGGGGCATGGACACTGGAGTAGAAGACAGCAGTTCTGGTGGATGGGCTTTGTTTAAACCGTACTGAGACCCAGTGTCCTGGCGAATCAAATAACTAGGATTAGGCAGAGAGCTTTAAACTAATTGGTGGTGGTAGTGGAGCTGGGAGCTGGGGCTTGTGGGGGTGGGTGGGGGGGGTGCGGTAGTGGTGATGGGTGGGTGCGGGGAAGAGAGAAGGGGTGGAAGATTAAGGAGAGGGTAGGCTGATGAAACAAAAGGCTATCTAACATTTTCAGAATAGCTGTTTCTAGGTAATGATTACTGGAATGGGTCACTATAAACAAGCAAATTAGGTCAAAGGTGGGAAAGATGGTAAAAACACTAAGTTAAAGGCTCTTTACTAAAATGCATGTAGTATTGGAACAAAATAAGTGAATTAACAATGCAAAAAGCAGGTTAGTGGGTATGATCTTAGCTATTACAGAGACATGGTTATAAGGAGATCAAAGCTGGGAACTACATATTCAGGAGTATGTGACTTTTCAAAGGTCAGGCAGGAAGGAGTGGGTGGTGGGATAGCAATGTTGGTACGGGATGAAGTAAGTAGGATAGCAAGAGATAATTGGAAGAGGTAGCCAGGAGAATACACAGAGTGCATTAAGGACAGTTTTCTAGAACAGTATGTTGTGGATCTGATAAGGATTCGGGCTGTTTTAGATCTAGTGTTGTGGAATGAGACAGCTGTAATGAATGATGTAAAATATCCCCGAGGAAACAACGACCATAACATGGCAGCATTAAGCGTTTGGTTTGAGAGAGAGGAGCATTACCAGGGTCTCTGGATGAATTGTCCAACGATAATAGCACTAGGCCGTCACCATTATGGTCTCAAAGCAACAGGAGTACAGAATGTGCAAGGGGGGGGCTTTATAAAGGAAACTAGGAGAGTAAAAAGGGGCATGTAAGAATAATGACAGGTAAAATAAGGGAAAGGATTAAGTTATTTTACAAATACATTGAAGGAAAAAGAATATTTCGGGACAGTAGGGGCCATTAAGGACTACATTGATAATTTGTGTGTGGAGTCAGAGGACGTAAGTACGGTTATAAATAAATACTTTGTGTCAGTATTCCTTAGGTGAGAGGGATGTTGGTAAAGAAATCAGGGAGGAGGTCTGATATATAATTAAACAAATTAACAAAGATGGAGAGAGAGGAGTTTCTGATTGGTATGGCAGGCTTAAAGGGAGATACATCTCTAGGACCAGATGTAATGTATTCCAGGTTTGTGAGTGACATAAGGGAGGAAATAGGAGTGCTTTTAAAAATGTTCAGTTCCTCCCTGGCTGCAGGAGAGGTGCCAGAGGAATGGAGATAGAAAAAGCATTATTAAAATAATCATGGGGGACTTCAATATGCAGGTGGACTGGGAAAATCAGGCTGGCAGTGGATCCCAAGAAAGGAATTTGTGGAATATCTGAGAAGGTTTTTGTGGAGCAGCTTGTGTTGGAGCTCACTAGGGAATAGGCAGAAAACAAAAACAAAGTTGCTGGAAAAGCTCAGCAGGTCTGGCAGCATCTGTGAAGGAGAAAACAGAGTTAACGTTTCGGGTCCGGTGACCCTTCCTCAGAACTGATGGTGGCTGGGAAAATGTCAGTTTATATGCAGAAAATAGGGAGGTGGGTAGGGTAGGGAGTGAACGATAGGATAGAGCCCAAAGAGAGAGAAAGACAGTTGGACAGACAAAGGAGCTGCTAATGATCAGGCTGGGAGGGTGAGTAGTTGTTAATGGGGATTGTTAGTGACTAACAACAGGGGGTGTGTAGTGGCAGGCTGTGGTAACAAGGCCTGGTGTGTGGGGTGGGGGGCTGGGACATGGGAGAGTTTAGGCCGTAAAATTATTGAACTGAATATTGAGTCCGGAGGGCTGTAGGGTCCCCAAGCGGAAAATGAGGTATTGTTCCTCCCGCTTGTGTTGGGCTTCACTGGAACACTGTAGCAAGCCAGAGAGAGATGTTAGCCAGGGAGCAGGGTGGTGCATTGAAGTGGCAGGCAACAGGTAGTTCAGGGTCTTTTTTGCGAGATGAACGTAGATGTTCTGCGAAGCGGTCGCCAAGTCTACGCTTCGTTTCCCCAATGTAGAGGAGACCACATTGTGAGCAGCGAATGCAGTAGACTAGATTCTTGGAAGTGCAGGTGAAGTGTTGCTTCACCTGGAAGGTATGTTTGGGCCCTTGGATTCTGGGGAGGGAGGAGGTAAATGGGCAGGTGTTGCACCTTCGCCGGTTACAGGGGAAGGTGCCATAGGGCTGTGGGGTGGTGTTGGGGGTGAAGGAAGTGTGGACCAGCGTGTCCTGGAAGGAACGGTCCCAGCGGAAGGCAGACGAGGGAGGGGAGGGGAATATGTGTCTGGTGATGGCATCTTGCTGGAGGTGGCGGAAATGGTGTCGGATGATCTTCTGGATGTGGATGCTGGTGGGATGGTAGGTGAGGATAAGAGGAACCCTATCGCTGTTGCGGGAGGGAAGAGAAGGGATGAGGGCAGAAGTGCGGGAGATGGGTCGGACCCGATTGAGGGCCCTGTCGACAACAGAGCTGGGGAATCCTTGGTTGAGGAAGAATGTGGACATTTCGGCGGCTCCCTTGTCGAAGTTGGCCTCATCTGAACATATGCGACGGAGACGGAGGAACTGAGAGAATGGGATGGAGTCTTTACAGGAAGTGGGGTGTGAGGATGTATACTCCAGGTAGCTGTGGGAGTCAGTGGGTTTGTAATGGATATTAGTGGCCAGTCTATCCCCAGAAATGGAAACAGAAATGTCGAGGAAGGGAAGGGAGGAGTTGGAGATAGACCAGGTGAAAGTGAGGGCAGGGTGGAAATTGGAGGCGAAATGGATGAAGTTTTCCAATTCTAGACGAGAAAGGGAAGCAGCACCGATGATATCATCGATGTATCGGAGAAAGAGTTGTGGTTTGGGGCCAGAATAGGACTGGAACAAGGAATGTTCCATGTACCCCACAAAGAGACAGGCATAACTAGGGCCCATGCGGTTACCCATGGCAACCCCTCTTACCTGAACAAAATGAGAGGAGTTGAAAGAGAAGTTGTTGAGGGTGAGGACAAGCTCAGCCAAGCGGAGGAGGGTGGTGGTGGGTGGGGATGGTTCAGGTCTTTGCTCCAGGAAGAAGTGGAGAGCCCTAAGACCCTCCTGGTGGGGAATGAATGTGTAAAGGGATTGCACATCCATGGTAAAGAGGTGGTGACTGGAGCCGGTAAATTGGAAGCTTTGAAACCGGCGTAAGGCGTCAGATGAATCATGGATGTATGTGGGTAGGGATTAGACCAGGGGAGAGAAGACTGAGTCAAGGTAGGAAGAGATGAGTTCTGTGGGGCATGAGCAGGCTGAAACAGTGGGTCTACCTGGACAGTCCTGTTTGTGGATTTTTGGCAGGAGGTAGAATCAAGCTGTGTGGGGTTGGGGGACTATTAGCTTGGAAGCGGATGGGGGGAGATCACCGGATAAAATGAGATCCATAACCGTGTTGGATACAATGGCCTGATGTGCCATGGTGGGGTCATGGTCCAGGAGGAGGTATCTGAGAGCTGGCGCTCAGCCTCTACAAGGTAGAGGTCAGTACGCCAGGAACCCCTAGGCAACAGTGACCATATGACAGAATTCATCTGCAGTTTGAGGGAGAAGCTGGAATCGGATGTAATGGGATTACAGAGACAACAAGTTGCAGGGCTGGA